TGTGGGGGCCTTACCACTTACCCTCTATGGGTGGCTACAAATATTTTATCTTGTTCATTGATGACTTTTCTCGGTTCACTTGGATATTTTTTATGAAGTCCYGTGATGAAGTTCYCAGWCTTGYRAGGCAATTCCATGAATTTGTCCTAACCCAGTTTGATACCAGGATTAAAATTTTCAGATCCGACAATGCAAAAGAATATTTTGAGAAAAACCTGACTTGTTATCTCACTGATTTCGAGGTTATTCATCAAAGCTCCTGTGTTAGGACCCCAGAACAGAATGGAGTTTCTGAAAGAAAAAATAGACATTGTTGAAGTTGCAAGAAGTATTCTATTTGCCTCACATGTTCCTACAAAGTTTTGGGGTGATGTTGTTCTCACTATTACCTATCTTATAAATCGTATGCCATCCAGGGTTTTAGGGTTTAAGTCTCCCTTCAGTCTCTTTTATCCGGACAAGGATCTTTTTCCTATTCATCTTCATATCTTTGGCTGCATCTGTTATGTACATATCCCAAGTGTCCAAAGACATAAATTTGAACCAAAAGACCACAAGTGTATCTTCCTTGGTTATTCCTCCACACAGAAGGGTTACTGTTGTTTTGATCCGAAGATTGGCACTCGGTATGTTTCAATGGATGTCACATTTGATGAGCTTTCTTCCTTTTATGGTTCTTCTCTAGAGAGACATTGTCCAAAGGGGGAGGATTTGTCACAGGTGTTTGCTCTTCCTCTTCCTATCCTAGTTGAGTCTTTTGCTGAGTCTCTTCCTCCTTCAAATGAATCAAGGGAGGATCAGTCACTTCACTCTCATTCCAGTGTTCCTATTCCTCATCCTTTACCTCCTCGCCCTCTTTTTAATCCCAGGTTGTATCAACGGAAAAGAAACAGAAATGAGCAGTTGTTTCCCCTACAACACATGAGCTTCATGCACTTCCAGTTACAGATGAGACAACAGGTACTGTTACAGCCCCTTTGGAGCCATCATTCCTAGACCTTGATATCCCCATTGCTATTAGGAAAGGAAAAGGAAAGTGTACTGCACATTGCATTTCCAAACACCTTTCTTATAGTTTCCTCTCTCCTTCATATTTTGCCTACCTTTCTTCTGTTGCCTCTAACCCAATTCCTAGGTCTGTGTCAGAAGCTCTTAATATTCCGGAATGGAGGGATGCTATGAGAACAGAAATTGATGCCCTGCACAAGAATGACATTTGGGAAGTGGTTGATTTGCCTGAAGGGAAGGATCCAGTAGGCTGTAAGTGGGTTTTTACTATCAAATATCATGCTGATGGAACCATTGAAAGGTACAATGCTAGGCTGGTTGCAAAAGGCTATACACAGACATATGGGATTGATTATCTAGAAACCTTTGCCCCTATTGCCAAGATGACTTCTGTGAGAGTTCTGTTATCTTTGGCTTTACACTCAGACTGACCACTTTATCAACTGGATGTAAAGAGTGCGTTTCTGAATGGAGAATTATATGAGGAGGTCTATATGTCTCTTCCTCTAGGGATGTATGAAACATATATGAAAGGAAAGGTCTGCAAGCTGAAGAAATCTCTTTATGGACTCAAACAGTCTCCTAGAGCATGGTTTGAAAGGTTTAGGGCTGCCCTTGTTAGCTTTGGCTATGTACAGACACAGTCTGATCATACCCTCTTTGTGAAGAGGAGAGGATCCTTGGCC